CAATACAATCATTAGGTGAATGCTAACCCCAGTAACAACATGGGCATTAATATTTCAGGTATATTCCATGGGCTCATTTAGCAAACTATATTATTGAGTTTTCTTCTGCACAGCAGCAGAAGGGTCATGGTAAATTCTCACCCCTTGGTGTTTTCAAGATTTCTTTCCTACCTCTTCTGCTATGTCAAGGTGGGGAACCTTTTTTGGCTTCACAGGCCAAAATCTGTCAATCACCTGACATCATAGTGACATCGGGTGATGCTGAGCTTTGAAGCCCCATTTGTCAAGACTTCAAAGTGCAGTGTAGGGCCGTTTGAAACCCTTTGCAAGCTGCCCCACACTGTTCTTTAAACCTCGGAAAATTGGAGGTTCAAAAGAGCGGAGAAGAGCTGTCCACTTTCAAACAGTCCACGCTGTTCTTCGACCCTCTAGTTTTTGGAGGTTCAAACAGAACCTATATCAGGTGTAGAGGTAGGTGTGCTTTCCCCCCAACCAGCTGGTGGGCCAAATGGAATAGCCTAGCGGGTCAAGTTTGGCCCACAAGCCAGAGGTTTCCTACTCCTGTGCTACATCACCGAACTATTTATGAGCATTGCATAAAAAAAAATATTAGCCCCAGGATAGGTATTCAGCAGCAGGCAACACACCATCACTTACAGGAGTTATACAAGACCTGGCTACAGCTCAATGGAAGCGCTCGTGCTTGGCATGTACAAAATCCCCAGCTTCAATTCCTGGCCTCTCCTGCAAAAAGGTAGCAGGTAATATGAAAGAAAGCTGCTTGATGCCCTAGAGAGCTGATGCCAGCCAGAGTAAGCACTACTGAGCTGGACGGGCAAATAGCCCAGCTTAGTATAAAACAACTTCCTATGTTCCTATTGCGGGACTTGCTGATCAGGACTTGCTGATCAGAAGGTCAGCGGTTCGAATCCCTGCGACGGGGTGAGCTCCCATTGCTTGGTCCCTGCTCCTGCCAACCTAGCAGTTCGAAAGCACATCAAAGTGCAAGTAGATAAATAGGTACTGCTCCGGTGGGAAGGTAAACGGCGTTTCCGTGCACTGCTCTGGTTTGCCAGAAGCGGCTTAGTCATGCTGGCCACATGACCCGGAAGCTGTACGCCAGCTCCCTCGGCCAATAAAGCGAGATGAGCGCCGCAACCCCAGAGTCGGCCACAACTGGACCTAATGGTCAGGGGTCCCTTTACCTTTTATGTTCCTATTGTGGGACTGTGTGCACTTATCAGTTGCATGAACAGCTGCAACCACATGAGCCACCTGAAATGTCCAGGCACAGGTTGACTACTACATCTGATGCTTCTGAAAATGATGCCACCAACACTGTTGTATCTGTGGTCTGTAATACCACAACCATACTTTGTCTCCCTGTCTGCTGACTCACTCTGCCTTCCCTGCAAGGCAAACCTTCTCTACAGGATATTACATAGAATTAAGTTGGAGTTCTAAGATGTGCCAAAAGATCACTGTTATGTACTAAGCTTGGATCCTAGAACAATAGGCAAGTAGGATCCTAGAATGCAACAACTGATTGGCTTGCAGGAAAAGACCAATCAGGCTCCAGGAGGAAGTTAATCAGCCTATTAGGCTGGTAGGATCATAGAATGCAACAACTGATTGGCCTGCAGGAAAAACCAATCAGGCTCCAGGAGGAAGTTAATCAGCCTATTAGGCTGGTAGGATCGTAGAATGCAACAACTGATTGGCCTGCAGGAAAAACCAATCAGGCTCCAGGAGGAAGTTAATCAGCCTATTAGGCTGGTAGGATCGTAGAATGCAACAACTGATTGGCCTGCAGGAATCACTGTTTTACAAGCTGCAATAAAGAGCATGAAATCACTACAGGACTCCGAGTATATTTCAATCACTATGAATCTATACAAAAAAGATCAGAGGTGTATCACCAGATGCAGCTTGCCAAGTGGGCCAGGGCCAATTTGACGCTCCTGTTGGGAGTGCTTACACTGTGTCAACCTCCCTGCTGCCTTGCCCTTCTTCCTCTCCCTCCCAGAAGGCAACAGCAATCCACCTGCCAGGAAGCTAGCTCTTGTGGGTTATCATCTGCTGTCTTCTACCAGCACTGAACACATAATGATCTCTGGTGCTGTTATGAAGGCAAATGCTGGCACAGGAACACCAATGGCTGATCCTGGATCAGCGCTGGGTCTGGCTGGGTCCCAGGATTGTCTGGCTACCATTACCTGGCACCATTTGGCAGCTTTCCTGGATGCTGTCCTAGTCAGAAGAAGCAACAGGAGGAAAGGCCTTCCTTGCTGCTGCGGGGACACATAGCTGAGCTCTGCTTTGGCAGTTAATTGTAGCGGGGTGCATACAAGATATGGAGAGAGCAAGTACAAAGCATCCAAGCCACAAAGGTTACTTAACTTAATGACTAAGTAAAGCTAATCAAGAAATAGTAATTGTATATTGGCATTGAAAGGAAGCAGGAACAGGTGACCAGCACATTTGATGGGCTTGCCCTTATAATTCAGAACTTTTGGAAGAAGCTGGCAAAACAATGGTAAGAGCTACAGCAAAGGTGGGAAACTTGCATCTCTCCAGATGTTGCTGACCTAAAACTCTAATTGCCCAACCAACATGGCCAATTGTCACAGATGATGGGAGTTGCAGGGCAACAAAATATGGAGGACCACAGGTTAGTTACCCATGCCCTATAGCATAATGTCTTTCATCTAAGTCACTAACATTCTTTTTGGGATATTTCTCAGATGTATTGTTAAACATTTCATGTCAAGTTTTGGTCCTTTTTATGTTACTTCCCAAATCGTACGGAGCTTTACTCCATTGTAAAAACAAACAACCCCATCCTGTATCCACTTTCCACCTGCGTTATTATTACCCCATAGATTCGTTTATTCTAAATTTTAATTGTATGTTGGACTGGGGACACAAAAGGTCAGGGAAGTAAACGTGATCTCATTTGCAGTTACGAAGAAGTCTGTTTAGGTTCAACCATCTTAAAACAAATGGAATAACCTTACTCAAGGCTGATCTAAGGACTCAAGACAACCTCTGCAAGTTAGCAGCAAATCCTGTTTTAGGTTTCTGTCAGTGAGCTTTTTGCAGTGAGGTATAAACAAAGGTATTAACCCCTTGATTATCTCCCATGTTGAAAATGCATTTTGGTGAAGTTGTTAAGTTCCATGCGTTTTCCACAATGTTTTGAGTCTAGGAACCTTTAAACTCTTGAGTCATGCCCCACTTCCTTCAGACATTGTCAGTCTTTGTGGGGCTAGATCAAAGGCCCATGCAGTCAAACCAATTCCCATTTCCAATGCCTTTCTTTAAGCTAACCTTAGTCACATGACTGACAGGGTGGATGATTGCCTATAATCCTCCTCCACTGCCAAGAATTTGCCGATATTACTCTTCTCCTATCTCTGGTGACCAAAAGGCACAGTACTTTTAATTATTAGTACATTTAAAAAACAAAAACCCAAACGCCCCCAAAGAACAATGTGGAAAAATACAATAAAAGAGGAAGGAAAGTGATGTAATTTCATAGGTTTAAAAAAGGAAATAAAAATAAGTGGAGTGGAGCCCCCAGGGAGAAGGAGGAATGCCTTTAATAGCCCATAAGGCTTTGCAGAAATGTTCCTTTTGCTTGCCAGGTGCTTGATACTAAAGAAAAGAAAACATTTTTTATCCCACTCTGGGCTGTTTTAATCGGACTGTGTGTGTCAAATAAGGCAGTGCATTTTAAAACTTCACAGGAAGAAAGTTAAAATGTAATTGGCGCAGAGGAAAGGAAATTTCAAATTAAATAGTGCAGACATTAATGGGGTGGGAATGGAGGGGAAGGAGCAATTGGGACAGATCTTTGTTTTTCAACCTGATGATACACTATTTCACCAAATCTAGAAGGACTTTGGCTCACAATTCTCAATTTGAAGTAGCATGAATCCATAGGATTTAACGTCGCATAAATTCAGAGTCAGCTTTTCATTTCCACAGGGGCTTTCATACACATTTGCCATTCAATGTCATTTTAAAATGTACTTTAAAAAAAGAAAGATATATGGTATATTCATTTGCTAGGCTTTAGACATAAAGCACCGTTGAAGCTGGTTCTCAGGAGAAATCTTTTAAAATGAAACTGCAGTAAATTTGGGTCTGTTTAGGAGAAAGAGAGAGGCCCATAACAAGATAAACCGATCCGTTTGCCCATTGTCTCCATCAACAGGATTACCTCAAAATGAATGGGGAGCAGGTGAGGTTTAGCAAAAGGTTAACAAAGCAGAGTTTACATTCTAGCCCAGCTTTTGTCAACTTGGTGTCCTCCAGATGTTTTAGCCTACAACTCCCAGCAAAGCCACCTGAATGCAAGAAGGGAGACGTACTATTCTGTACTGTACAGTGGTGTAGCCAAGGGTAGCCAACACAGAGCCCCCCAGATGTTGTTTCATGACAGACCCCCTTCAACCCCAGCTAGCATGGTCAATGTAGTTAGGGAGGAGGAAGGAATTTGGCTCACTTCACATTTCAGTTTCAGTGTGAACCTACCTTAATTCCCAGTTCCTGAAACAATACACAAATTGAAAGGCCAATTCTTTGGAATTTGCTCCAAATTTTGCAATGCAATTAAAGCAACCAAATAATGTACACAAAATATTTGGGGAAAGTGTGCACACAAAGGCAAATATCAGTTAAAATAACATACAAACGCATCGTATTAGGGGGAATTGCTTGCAAAAAATGTCTATTTGGGGAGAAATCTGCTCTAAAAGGCTGACAAGTATTCACATGGATTCTTTTTTAAAAAACAAACAAACCTGCAAACCAATGTGGATTAATATTGAAAAAATAAGAAACTGAAATTGACATATTTGCCCATCCCGGCTGTTGTCTGCAACATCTGAAGGAGGTCACATAGGCAACAGGGCATGTGAACACATAAGACTATAAACTTGTTTTATAAGCTGGAAGCTCAAAACTTCCAATGGAAAGATCTTGGCATTTCTTACCTGCAACAGATGACAGATTTGCACGATAGCGCTAGATCCAGAAAGGACTGCCGCACCTCAAAGGAAAGAGCGTACTTCAGCGTCTGACCATCGATAATCAAAGCGATGTCATTCTCTTTGCCCAGCGAATCACCCAGGTTTGCACAGTGCTGAGTCAGTGTAGCTCTCGTTGCCTGAGGGATGCACACAAAAGAAGGAAAGGGAGAATAACACTCCTTTCTAGAATGGATCCGAATGGCAGACATGACAGTCAGGGCCATTGCAGTGACGGCCCCACATTTGTGGAACTCCCTCCCAAGTAGTCCCATCATCATACGGCCTCATCAATACAGTCGTTTAAAAAGGGCCCCTCTTATTTCAGATGGATTTATCTCAAAGGATTTGTGGTGCTGCTGGCCTGAAACACTTTTGTCTTGCTGGCCTCTTTGTGGTTTTGAACTGCTGTTTTAAAATGGTTCTGGTTTTTATGCAAGTTGCCTTGTGAGGGCTTTGCCCTGAGATGTAGCCTAGGGATGTTTAAATAAAATAAGTAAGGGTGCAACACATAGTTGCTTTCATGAGCACATCATCCATCCATCCATTTTAAACCCTGTTTATGTGTTCTCTCAGGACACATAACACCTTTCAGGATTCAGCTTCAGTTTATAGCCCATCACCAGACCCAGCCCACTGCCATATCCATATTGGTGGCAGTTCTCTCCTGATGGCGCTCCCAGAGGCTTCATATAGATGTTAAAGAGCACGCAGGACAATATGGAACCACGACAAAACAGGACAACTCCCAGGGTGCTGGGCAGTAGCCTCCCATAACATCCTTCTGTAATCAGCCCTAGAGTTAGGAGCAGACCACTGAAGCACAGGGAACCCAACCCCAACCTCCCTGAGATGTTTCAGCATATTGTGGTGAATAGTATCAAAAGCTATCAAGGAGAACAAGCAGGGTCACCCTCCCCACTCCCATCTCCATCCTGACAAACGTCATAAACCCAGAATGACCAAGGCAGTTTCACTGCCATTAGTGGGCCTGTAGCCAGACTGGATCCAAGAAATCAGTTTCCTTCAAAGCATGTCTGACACTGGACTGCTACCACCTTCTTTGAGCACCTCATCCAGAAAGGGGATATTTGCTACTGGACAGTCACTGTTGAATGCTTCTGGGGCCTGGGAGGTCTTCTTAAGGAGGGGGTGCACCACTACCACCCTCAAGGGAGATGCTCCCCCCCATTTTTTAAATTATTTTTTTACTAAATAGGAAAATAGGATCTCACTCTTTAATTCTATGAACTGCTGGCTGAAGGCAAATGTTTTGTTTTTTTTCCTATAGGCAATGGTAAACACAGTACATTATTACATTCATGCAATTTCCCTTTCTTTTACAAATACGTTATCAGCACCGTGCGAGCAACTTCGAGTTAAACACACTCCTCAATGGAAAGATGCCGTAATGTCTGCTAAATATATCTGTTTATCCGTGCTTTAGAAGAGCTCTTTTTATAATGCCCCAGGTTGCAGGTAATAGCTACAAAATATGGACAAGACTGGAGCAGGATTATATTTGTCAGGATTTTTTTTTAAAGGTATTTATGAACCATTGTAATCTTGTGACTGCTTTATGGGCCCAAATTCCTTCAGGGAGAAGTCACAAACCCAGAAAACTTGTTGCGGATTATAGCATTTTCTATCCTCACCTCTGATTTGACAAGCAGATGTGGAAGCAGTGCGTAGATAAACTACTTAACAGAGACAATACAAGTGTGGGCACTGGACAGCTTCAGTTAAGCTAAGTGTTGTAAGGCAATGAAGGGAATCTTGAACGAGGGCTTCAAGGGAACAGCCTTCCTTCTGCATCAACCAGTGTTCTGGGCCTTTGACCAACTAACCCAGGTTTCACAGGGTAAGGGCATCCTCTAGGCCTAGGTATTGGCCTGAGTTCAGTCAGCTGACCTTGCAGCCCAATGGAGAGTCATTAGGCTCTATAACAGGGGTGCAGAATCTGTTTCAGAACCACGGGCCACGCTTATTTCTGGGCAACCTTCTTCGGGCTGCATTCCAGTCGTGGGTTGGGCAACAGTGAGCTGAGCAACAAATGTAGATTTGTACGGTAGGATAGCTTTACACAGCACTATTTTTCTAGAAAAAGAGGTGCCCACCTGAGAGGTGCCAAGTTCCGGCTGGAAAAAAAGCCCTGGTTTTACACCTACTCAGACGTCCCTCTCTGGCCTCCATCCAGACAAGCATTATCAGAGTTTTAGTCTTGCAAAAACACTCAAGAGGGTGTGTGGCTTAGAAAATCCTTCCTTCTGGTCTGGCAATCTTGAGTCCCACTGGGTTATTACACAGATTCCAATAGCTGTGCTTGTCTGTCTATGATTACATTCTCTGCCTCTGGCCCTTGGTTCCTATTTGCCGGATCTGGTATCTGACCGCCAACCTCTTCTCAACCACAGCTCCTGCCCCATGTCAGGCCCAAACTCCATGGCAACCTATTCCAAGATAGGCCCCAAGGTCAGAAATAAGTTAAGCGTCATACCCTTCCTTAAATCTTGTTGGCACAGCTGCTTACAATGTCCTTGCAATGCTATTGTAATAACTTATTCCAGGATACCTAGCTGTTACACATCACCTTGAGCATTTCTTGGCTGGCTCAGTAACAACAGGTTTCGACAATCTATTCACCAGCTTACGTGTACAAACAATTTGCTCCTCCAAAAGGTAAACGTGCATGAATACTGTCATGTTGTATAAGCATTCTCAAGGAAGCTGTATCGGTGCTTTCCAGAAGCAGAGATCTCTGCGTTCCCAGTGCAAGCCCCTCAACTGAAGCTCCTACTATTACTTTAAAAACAACAACGCTTATTAAATAAAATAATCCCCACCAGTGAACCTAGATTATGAATGTACTAAAACAGCCCAAACCAGTGTTTGCCAATCTTTTTGGCAAGTGCACCAAGGTAACAAAGTTCAAAGTAAGAAGGGGGGGTGCTAGTCCAGGGAAGTACCATATGAATTAGGGTGCTTTTGACTCTTGTTATCAGAGCATACCAAAGGAGAAAGAAGCAGTGCTAGAAAGGGCGACAAGACCGTAGGATTGACTTTGTGCCACAGGCATGTCTGCTCCTGTCCAGAAGCACCAGGGGAAGCTTTGTATGCAGAAGGTCCAGGGTTCAATCCCAAGAATCTCCAGGTAGAATGAGAGATAACCTGCCCTGAAATCCTAGCGAGCTGCTGTTCATCAATGTAAACCATAGTGAACTAGATGGACTAACAGTCCAGTTCAGAGAAAGGCAGCTTCCCATTTAACACCTGCTGCCTGTGTCACCTGAGGCACCTATGCCTCAGGTTCACTAATTAGGGCTCAATTTCCTCCCCTTAAAAATGATTAATGTAAGTATTATTTCATTCCTTCTTCCTTAGTTCTTTCCCCATGATCATCTATATGACATGATACAGTCAAAGTCATGCACTTTTGAGGACTAAGGATTCCAATAAGAGAGCAAAGAGCATGTCTGATTAGCTACCACTGAAATCGACAGCATTTAGAAGTGGTTAACTTTGGTGGAGGGCACAAGGAGAAGGGGACGACATAAGACGAGATGGTTGGACAGTGTTCTCGAAGCTACCAGCATGGGTTTGACTAAATTGCGGGAGGCAGTGGAAGACAGGAGTGCCTGGCGTGCTCTGGTCCCTGGGGTCACAAAGAGTCAGACACGACTAAATGACTAAACAACAACAACAACTTTGGTGGACAGAATTTGGATAGATCCCACAGGGGCTTCCTTTTAATTAAGCATGCACAGGATCATGTAGTCAATGGAGAAGAAAACATGGAAGGGTGTTTGCGCATCTACCATATGGAATACTTTAGCATTAACTAGGGTCTGAATATTTTTGAAACTTCATTCCCTAGTTCCTTCAGTTGATGTTCTTTATCAACTTTGATCCCAACAGTGGCTACTACCTAAGAAGTTAAGAAAGCGATGGTTCATTTTTTTATGCCTTTCCCCTCATCTGTTGATGATTGTGGTTTATTTAGGAGAAAGTGCAAAACTAGCTTGATTCCTAAAATCAAAATACTACACAAACAAACGCCTAAAATTATTGCCCCAGGCACGCAGTAGATTATCATGTGGGATTCTTGGTACCTTCCAGTTCCCAGCAACAGGAAAGGGCCTCAAGTGTCAATTTCCCAGATTTTCCTGAAATATTTCACAAATCCCTTTACAGGGAGAGAGAGAAAACCCGTGTTTTTCAGCAGAAACCATTTCCCCTCATCCTCTCCCTTCTCTATACTGTTCCCAGTGCACTGTTCCCACACAGTTTGCCAGCCTATTAAGCCTGTGCCGAAAACACTCAGCGTTAGAAGTATTTTATATCCTAAATGGGAAATGGCTTTGTTTCATGCATCATATAGTAGAACACCATTTTTTTTTTCTAATCCGCTACTGGCCCCCACAGCATTACATCCTCAAGCTTCCTAACACTTCCTAACAGTACAAGACAAGAAGCGTAAGAAGCGTCTCTAACAGCAGCCCAATCTGACCCGCCCTGTCATTGTTAGCAGCAAAATAAAGCACCCTTGTTACATCTGCAGCTTGAACCATTTCCAGACTTTAAGGAACAGGAGGACTGAGAAGGAGAAAGAGGGCTGGAATGGAAGGGGCCTGTGTAGTTTTGGCTCAGCCACAGTCTGCTTCTGGGTTCCCACATTCCCCAAGCCTGGCCAAGGCCCATCTGAGAAATAACAGCCTGTGAGGTGACTCTGAGGAAGAAGATTAGATGACAGGTGCTAAATATGTGTCTGATATCTGCCCCACACCTTTTTTTGCAGGCCATTCGCCTTACAAAAAGGGGGGTATTTATCTGGTGACCTTTCATATATGATAGGCATATGTCAAATGAGATAGTCCAAGCACCTCTGTTTTTATTACTTAAAAAAAAAAGCCTTCATGCTGTAGCCATTCAACAGCAAGAAAGGAGAAAGGATGGTTGACCATAGGGGCCTTCAAGTCAGAATTCCCCATGGAATGACAGTAAGAACGTAAGAAGGTCAATGACCTATCCCAGGGGTCAGCAAACGTTTTTAGGAGGGGGCCGGTCCACTGTCCCTCAGACCTTGTGGGGGGCCGGACCCACCGCCTCCCGAAAGCACCCCCCGAAAGGCTTCAACAACATC